TTGCTGTTTGTTTCAGGGTTTTAGGGGTTTAGGGTTTTAGGGTTTAGGGGTTTAGGGTTTTAGGGTTGTAGGGTTTAGGGGTTTAGGGTTTTAGGGGTTTAGGGTTTAGGGTTTAGGGGTTTAGGGTTCTAGTGAGGATTTGCCGGGGGCTTGTCGGATGTCGAATTCACGGTGTTGAGGTTGAGTTAGCGTAGCTCGGTCTCGGAGGATGGTTTTAGGGTTTATGTTTGATGGTTTTGAGATTCAGGGTTTAGGGTTCCGGGATTTATATAGGGTTTTATTTGGAGCTTTTATTTATAGGGTTTAGGGTTTAGTTTGCAGGCATGAACAGAGGAAGACATGCGAGGGTGCACGCGCACGCAGTGCAGTGAAATGATGCCCTTGCTGCGTGCTTTGAAAGTAGGCCGCCGGTATGGGGTCTCGCAGACTTCGGCGCCACCATATTTAGGGTTTAGGGTTTAGAGTTTAGGGTTTAGGGGGTTAAGGAACCCCAGAAACCGTATCAGTAATTCCTTAGGGCCCTTAGCACGGAGAGCCCAAGCCACCAAAGCCCTTAAGGGAACCATAATGTAACCCTTTATCGGAACGCTTAAAAGCACCCTAAGCCCCAAACCCTAAGGCGGGAGATTGGCTGCTCTTCAACCACAAGATCGAGCTGAAGAACACTTTCGTGCACTTCTCTGGGTTCAAGAGGCCATGGCTTTGGGTTCAAAGGGCTTTAGGGTTTAGGGTTTAGGGTTCAAAGGTTCGGAACTGTCATTCTGGGGTGTGGGGTATGGTTTGGGTATTGATCCCAGCCTGAAACAGTCTATATATATGGGGGGGGGCTCATATCAACGGCCATATAAAACATACGTCATGAATGCTCGCTAGCTATTGCAGAGTTCAGGCCGCACCCAAGGTACGGTTTTTTTAAACCCTAAACTCTGAGGGTCGGTTCTATGGGGTTCTCCGTGGGGTTGGCAAAGGTGCTTACACTGTTTCGATACGGATTCCATCGCAATTCCCTCCCCAAAGTTTAGGCTGCTGTAAGGTTTCAGGGTGCAGGGTGTCGGGAAGTTTCCCTGTAAGCAGTTTTATGGTTCAAAACCCTAAGCCCCAAAGCCTCAACCGTAGTTTTGATTCATGATCTGCGAGATGCGGCTTAGGGTTTCGGGGAGCCCCTGCCCTCTCCCTGGAATCAAGAAGCCCCCAACCACTCGAGCCCCTCATCTCACATACCTGAACCCTTAAACCGCAATGGCTTCGGGCTCATGGCACTATGAAATCCTCATAACACCAACTGAACCTTTACCCTAAACCCTAAAACCTAAACCCTAAACCCTTTAGAAGGCTAGAACAGTCTAAGCCCTGACGCCCCATAAAACAGGACCGAAAAGCGCCGTGTCACGTGCCCCGGCTTGCTCCAGTCCATGATGTCGCTCGGCTGATGTGGGGCTCTAGAAGAAGGGTTTGGGGAAGAAGGGTTTGGAGTCGCTAGTCTTCTTATGTAGAATTAGGGTTTAGGGTTTAGGGTATAAGAGTCTCATGAGGGATCTCTTCCCCAAGCAGCATGGCAACACTTTGGGTGCTTTACGTTAGGTGTTAGTTGGATCAGATGAGGGTCGTTCGGGTTTAGGGTTCAGGGTATACGGTTTAGGGATTAGGGTTTAGGAGTTTGGGTTCGGGTTGGGTTTAGGGTTTAGGGATTTGCAGGCGCCCAACAGTTCCCGCTCGGGCCCTGCAAGCCGGGATGCAAGGTCATTTTCAATATCCCGCACTTAGGTTGGCGCTTTTTCGCAGTGCCGTTCATTCTTTAGGCGTCTTTTGTTGGGTGGAAATCATGCTCCCGGTGCCTTCAGAATTAGAGGAACTCGCTAAAGTCAGGCTTCTAGGTGGCCGATCTAAGCAGTCTGGGAAGTTGGAGAAATTCGACACCATGCTACCACTGTCACAGTGCCTTCTTTGGCTGCGACTCATGCAACAGTCTGGTGGTTTGGGGTTCAGGTAATACCGGGGAGAACTGGGGATGAACACCTGATGTTGATCCCATAATTTAGGGTTTTGGAAGTGCTCGTGAGCAGGGCTAGCTTGCCCAGCAGGGGGGGGCTCTACGCTGACAGAAAACAGGTTGTGCAATGGCGTTCTATGATATGCTTCATCCCAATTCCAGCGTCGGGCCGGCGTGAAGTTTAGAGTGAGGCGAGGTTCCTGTATTTTCATAAGACTCCTATTCTTCAGGATGCATATTCGGGTTCTGAACGTCCTAGGTCGAGCGAAACCGTGGTGATGACCGGTCTATCGCAGTCGTTGCAGCCGGTGTTACGCGAATCAAGCTCTGCCGGGACCGCCAGAACGCCAAGCCACACCTCTCCAGCGCAGGACCACCCTAACCCCACAAAGCCCTAAACCCTAAACC